AGGCTGAGGGCAAAGTCTCTGCGTTGGGGGATCAGAGGGGTGTTGGGAGAGGAGGCCAGCTGGTTCTCTGGCACTCCTGCCCCTTTGGAGCTCTCCTCTCCTGGCAAGGCTCTGCTGCCGGGCGGGCTTGGCATGGGGGACCTCTGGGCGCAGAAGCGTGGCAGAAGGCCTCCTGGGCTTCCCTTGACCCCTTTCCTGTCTTCTTTCCGCCTCTCCTCAGGTGGGGATGATCTCGAACAAGGGGGAGAAAACGCGCGTGGCCTCCTCCATCTTCATCACCCTCGCACCTCCCAGGAGGGACCACGGTCCTGCGAAGACCCCGCCATTCCTTCCCGCAGAGCGGTGGGCCCCTGAGGAAGAGGGACGGGGGCCCAGCAGCGCTCCCCGTGGAGGTGAGGTCCCTGTGAGCGCTTGGCCCCGGGCTCCGATTGTGATTTCAGCCCAGGGACCAAGACACATGCGGGAACCCCCAGCCTTGCGGGTTCCCAGGTGGGGGGCTTTGAGGTTTATATGCTACTTCGGGGAAGCTTGGGCCCCTCAGGCTCTGATCTGAGAAAGGCCCAGCTTCAAACCCAAACCAAGGGCCTCCCTCACCTTGAAGTCATGTGCTGCTTCTTCCCCACTTCAGGTTCCTCTGCCCCGCCGCCTCCCGTTGTCCCTTCTCTGTCTGCCCTGGGCGCTCTGCAGTCCGCTGCCCTGCCGGTGGAGACCCTGGGCCCCGATCTGCAGAAGGAAGCAGCCGCTTCACCCTCCTCCCTGCAGGTGATCCTCTTTCGAGAGAAGGCAGACGAAGCCCTTCAGGTTCTCCCTGTTCTCCAGCCTTTTCCGACAAGGAGAGCAAGAGGAGCCAACAGCTGGGTTGGAGGGAGAAGTAAAGTAAAGCTTTACTGTATGCGCAAACTTTTAATACAACGGCATGCGGTCTAGCAACATCCTGGATCCTTCACCAGGATCCTTCCTTTTATTCACACCCCCTTCAGGCACACTTTGCAGCAGCCTTGCCATCTTTAAAAGCTTGGCCTTTTAAAGTCAGGCAATTTGGGGAGGCGGCTGTCCACAGCCCCCTCCCCGGGGTCAAAAACGGAAGGCTCCTGAACCTTGAAGGCGGGTCTCCCCGTCGCACAGCAACAGCCGCGTTCCTGCATCTCCTACGGGGACTTCCTTGAGATCGACTGTGAAATCTGCTTCGCTTTTCAAAGCGCTCAGCTTAACCGGGGCCGTTGTTTTCTGCTTTCCAGGCTTCTTCTGTCTTTCTGAAAAAACTGGGGCAGCCTCAGCCGGCCTCGCGCAATGGCTGGACGGGCGGGCGGGCGGAAAAGGAAGCGGGAAGTGCTGCGGCGCCAGGTGAGGTGCCCCTCTCC